AAACCAAATAGGTCAAGGCCTCTCAGAACATAGGTGATCTCAATACAAAGGCGCTCAGCCGTGACCGGTTTTCTGTTTGCTTTACATGTTTGGCTTTACAGTGAAAGGTGAAAAGGTAGGTGAGACCGGGTACAACAGAACGCAGGCGCGAGACCTTTTGAAGCAGCAGGTCAAAATCGTCAGTGAGGTTGTTTCAGAGCCTGGGCAATCAGTGCAGAGTTCAAAGCTGAACAAGTTTGCAAAGCAGATATTGCGTGTGCTGGTGTCATGCAGGTTGATGTCTTCGGCAGAGGATGAAAACGTTGCTGAAGAAGTTGTTTCATATGGGAACTCCTTAACAGGAGACACAGCTGGAGCCTTGGAACATTGGCTATCCGAGTTGAGCCCAATGCTGTGATGTTTTTCTTTTGCGTTTTCATTCTGCTTGGAGTGTGGCGATTTTCATGGCGCCTGGTGGAGACGATTCAGAACCAGAAGCCATGAACGATTCGGAGGCTGAGTCAGCATTAGAACGTTTGACTTCACGGTATGACATGAATGAAAGATCACTGGGACACCTTTATCCCAGTGTTTTCCTTGAACTCATGTTCAGGGTTGAAGGCGTCATAGCTTGGATGTATTCACGTTGTTTTGAATGGTTCCAAGATGGAAACGTTGCAGCTGACGAAAAGAGTATACTTCAGTGGCCTGATGGGACAACAGACTCAGAAAATCGGTAGGCGACGTAGTTGCTATGTCCAACTTGTCGGAGGAAGAGGCGTTGCCAAGGCAAGGGATGTCGGAAAGTGCAGTGAAAGATGAGATGGTTCAGGCCTTTCAGGCTTTCCAAGTTGGCGCAAATTTGGTTGGTCACCTGCGTGAAGCTGCAGCAGCAAGTGCGACAGACCATGATGATGCCAATGCAATGGAAAGTTCTGAGTCCTCAGGATCCGAGAATCTGCCCCAACAACTGCGGATGGAGATGCGCCATCGAGGAAGTGATAGCTGATAACGATAGAAACAAGGACAATGGTCATGAGACAAATGCAGAAAGTGAGAAGGAACAGTAAGATAATGAGTGACTCCTACTGTAGGTTTGCTGTGGGTAAACTTGATCCCACAGAGACGTTTGCAGTGAAATCTGCTATGGGTTAACCGGTTAACCCGATCCAATCGAGACATGTGCATTTTGCATATTTTCTGAGAACCGAGGTTAAAAAAACAGGTTTCACTTAAGGTGATAGGCTGGTTTCCTAGTTGCAGCCCACGACCGTGCAATTGAGACTTAAAAGAAGTCGCTTTGGAATTGTGTGGTGTTTGTTTTGCTGTTTTCATGGTTCATGCAAAACGTATGTACAGTTGGATATGCTAGATTTCCGAGGCTTTGGTGTTTCAAAAGGAGTTCAGACATGTGTAAACTCAACGCGAATTAAATGTTGAGTTCAACATGAACTCAATCAATATTTTTTATCCCCGTCCTCCCGGTCCATACGACAGGGACTGCGGGGGAACGAAGACCGACCTATGTTGGTCCCAGGTCATCCGAGAATGAATTGCAGCCGTATGAAGCCGCCCGACGAACTGCAACTGTTTTACAAAATTCATCCAGGCAGCAGAGCCTTTGTGCCGTCTGTTGCCTCGCTCGACAAAGGTGCTGCTGAAATTGAACAGGTGGCCGGAAGCTGACTGATTGTTCACAGCATGTCATGAAATTGAGCATGAACATCTCTTTGGGATCAAGGGCGACTTGACAAAAAACTGCACTGCTTGATCTGCACTTGCTATGGCGCACATATTTCATTTTCGGGTGCTTGGCATGCTTGGTGTTCATGTTCACTTGCTGATTTTGAATTGCATGTGTCGACACATACTTGATGTGGCTGTGCGGCCAATTCCGACGGAAAAAATTGGGCGCTGCAAATCCAACATGACAAAACAAAACGGCACGGCTTAATAACTCAAATTTCATTGTGATACTGTGAAAGTTCTGTGTTTTTCGAAACCAGCAAAAGTGAACGCAAATAGATGACACACAAAAAATCAAAACATATAGTTATATTTTCAAAAACGTAACAAATTGTAATTGACACAAACAACACATGAATCACAATAAAACTCCATAAAACGCTACCTTGGTATTCAAATTGTGAAACATGGACGTTCTCAATTCTCAATCCAATCAATTCCACGTAAAAAAAATACAATTTCTTCAAGTCCGAAACTCATGCGGCGATGGACAGGATTTGCGGATATTCCAGTGTCAAACATGACAAACCCTGAAATGTATTGACGATATGTGCTGGGTGCGTGCTGCATCAAAATTTACTGTAGAGTGAGTGCATGAAAGTCGCAAATCCAACTACTGATTTTTTTTTGATGCAAATTGTTGCGCACAATACTGGTTTGCTTTCGTGCGTTCGTTGTTTTTGCATGGTCGGCATGAATTTTAAAATTACAGGTGTTTTTGATGCCAACGGAAAAATATGTAACCATGTTCAAATCCTTTAACAGTCACGGCGAATTGCATATGTATGTATGTATGGTATGTATGGTATGTATGGTATGTATGGTATGTATGGTATGTATGGTATGTATGGTATGTATGGTATGTATGGTATGCATGGTATGCATGGTATGCATGGTATGCATGGTATGCATGGTATGCATGGTATGCATGGTATGCATGGTATGCATGGTATGCATGGTATGCATGGTATGCATGGTATGCATGGGTATGCATGGGTATGCATGGGTATGCATGGGTATGCATGGGTATGCATGGGTATGCATGGGTATGCATGGGTATGCATGGGTATGCATGGGTATGCATGGGTATGCATGGGTATGCATGGGTATGCATGGGGTATGTATGGGGTATGTATGGGGTATGTATGGGGTATGTATGGGGTATGTATGGGGTATGTATGGGTATGTATGGGGTATGTATGGGGTATGTATGGGGTATGTATGGGTATGTATGGGTATGTATGGGTATGTATGGGTATGTATGGGTATGTATGGGTATGTATGGGGTATGTATGGGTATGTATGGGTATGTATGGGTATGTATGGGTATGTATGGGTATGTATGGGTATGTATGGGTATGTATGGGTATGTATGGGTATGTATGGGTATGTATGGTATGTATGTATGTATGGTTGTATGGTATGTATGGTATGTATGTATGTATGGTATGTATGGTATGTATGGTATGTATGGTATGTATGGGTATGTATGGGTATGTATGGGTTATGTATGGTATGTATGGTATGTATGGGTATGCATGGGTATGCATGGGTATTGCATGGGTATGCATGGGTTTGATGCATGGGTATTGCATGGGTATGCATGGGTATGCAGGGGGTATGATGGGGTATGCATGGGTATGCATGGGTATGCATGGGGTTATGTATGGGTATGTATGGGTATGTATGGGTATGTATGGGTATGTATGGGTATGTATGGGTATGTATGGGTATGTATGGGTATGTATGGGTATGTATGGGTATGTATGGTTATGTATGGGTATGTATGGGTATGTATGGGTATGTATGGGTATGTATGGGTATGTATGGGTATGTATGGGTATGTATGGGTATGTATGGGTATGTATGGGTATGCATGGGTATGCATGGGTATGCATGGGTATGCATGGGTATGCATGGGTATGCATGGGTATGCATGGGTATGCATGGGGTATGCATGGGGTATGCATGGGGTATGCATGGGGTATGCATGGGGTATGCATGGGGTATGCATGGGGTATGCATGGGGTATGCATGGGGTATGCATGGGGTATGCATGGGGTATGCATGGGGTATGCATGGGGTATGTATGGGGTATGTATGGGGTATGTATGGGGTATGTATGGGGTATGTATGGGGTATGTATGGGGTATGTATGGGGTATGTATGGGGTATGTATGGGGTATGTATGGGGTATGTATGGGGTATGTATGGGGTATGTATGGGGTATGTATGGGGTAGTATGGGGTATGTATGGGGTATGTATGGGGTATGTATGGGGTATGTATGGGGTATGTATGGGGTATGTATGGGGTATGTATGGGGTATGTATGGGGTATGTATGGGGTATGTATGGGGTATGTATGGGTAATGTATGGGTAATGTATGGGTTATGTATGGGTTATGTATGGGTAATGTATGGGTAATGTATGGGTAATGTATGGGTAATGTATGGGTAATGTATGGGTAATGTATGGGTAATGTATGGGTAATGTATGGGTAATGTATGGGTAATGTATGGGTATGTATGGGAATGTATGGGTATGTATGGGTAATGTATGGTAATGTATGGTATGTAATGTATGTAATGGATGTAATGTATGTAATGTATGTAATGTATGTAATGTATGTAATGTATGTAATGTATGTAATGTATGTAATGTATGTAATGTATGTAATGTATGTAATGGTATGTAATGGTATGTAATGGTATGTAATGGTATGTAATGGTATGTAATGGTATGTAATGGTATGTAATGGTATGTAATGGTATGTAATGGTATGTAATGGTATGTAATGGTATGTAATGGTATGTAATGTCTGTATGTCTGTATGTCTGTATGTCTGTATGTCTGTAATGTAATGTAATGTAATGTTATGTTATGTATGTATGTATGTATGTATGTATGTATGTGTGTGTATATATATATATGTTTATACTGCCTGAACACATGCATGGCTCAGAAGTCTTGCTGCATTCCACCAAAGGAAGGGCACCGCACGATCACCACTTGCAATTCGGATCAACGATCTATCAGTGCTTTCAGGTTTCCCCCATTCCAAATTTTGGACCCCTCTCGAAGAGAATCGTTGGATTGCCAAACAATCCAAACCACATTTGCCAACCATTGAGGTCATCAAAACCCCACTTTCGTTTTCAAACGAATTGCAAGAATTTGGTAAATATTTGTGCTGCAAAGTGCGTTACCCATATTTCACCATCGAGATGCCAAAGTGGCATGCGCCCGAATGTGAAATTGCGCCATGAAAATCACATGGCCTTGTCCAACGATGTGCCAGGACTCAGTTGGTTTGATCCACCAGACAAAACCGAATGATTTGTATATTTTGAAGCACATCTTGTGTGCAAGGCCAATTTTTTTGCATATTTTTGGAGTAGATGTTTTGAATTGCAACACCACCAAAAAACAATGTTTTTGGCCCAAAAAGTGACTTGTTTTGGATCCATCAGTTACAGATCCCCCCGTTTGGATTTGTCCAAAAAATTGGGCACCGGCAAAAAATGGTTTCATACTCCAAAATGTAGGGCCAAATCCCCATATGTTGTTTGTTTTTTCCCGCCAACCAATTACGAAAACTAGTTTCTGCTAGCTGAATTCCCTCTTGCTTTAGCAAGGTGTTGGGGGGGGCTGGAATCTCCAATCGCATGAAACTTCATACGTAACTATCCCCCTTCCCCCTCCCCTGGCTGGCTGGTTTACAAGCAGTTTGGCCGTGGCTAAATCCCCCACCGTCGGCATGTTGCCATCGGCAGCAAATTCGGCAGCATCCGCATCCTCAGCATCATTGTGTTTTCATGAAAAACTCCGTGCCAGACTTGTTTTCGTCCCTTACCCCTGGGCCTCAAGTATACTTACCAATATTCCCGGCATGTACATTTTTACATAAACCTGTATCATTTAAACACCCATACCGGGCCATACCCGTACAAAACCAAATTGAAACACATCCCCATATCACTTGTAACCACTAAAACCCATTACAACCCATTATCACCCATCAAAACCCATTACAACCCGCATTATAACCAATTATAACCCATTAAAACCCATTATAATCCATTATAAGCCGATATAACCCAATATAACCAATTACAACCCATCATAACAAACTTATCGTAGCTGCATTATCAACCCATTGTAACCCTATTACAGACCTATTTTAATCCTATTATAAACCTATCGCAAACTCATTGTGAGTCTATCATTGTAACGTGGTGAACCCAATTTGATAAACCATCCCCCAAATCATGGGTGGTCTAGACCCCACATGGTAGGTTTACTACCATTGGGTTTACCACATTGTCCTATTTTGAAAAGTCATTTTGAAACCAACTCGCCTGCCGGAAACTGAGGTTCGGACGCGCCGCAGACTGGGCCATGCAGGCTTAATCTTGCTGGCGAAGCTTGGCTAAACCTGCGAAATGTGCATCCCAATGCCAAGTGGCAAACAACAGTGATATATTATATATAGTGTCACAATTGTATATGTATATGTATATGTATATGTATATGTATATGTATATGTGTATGTGTATGTGTATGTGTATGTGTATGTGTATGTGTATGTGTATGTGTATGTGTATGTACAGGTATATGTATACGTATATGTATATGTATATGTATATGTATATGTATATGTATACCTATATGTATATGTATGTGTATGTGTATTTGTATGTGTATGTGTATGTGTATCTGTATGTGTATGTGTATGTGTATCTGTATCTGTATTATGTGTATGTGTATGTGTATATGTGTATGTGTATGTGTACATGTATTTGTATGTGTATGTGTATATGTATACATATATATATATTTGCATGCACATCCCATGATGATAATGTGTGTGTACGTGTATACAATACATAATATGTCTCACATATCAATTACGTGCATGTAATATACATAATTATTTGTCAACATATGTTCCAGTTGCAAGTTGCATAGCACCCTAAATTACGTATGAATTATCACTTCTGGGGAATCCGATTTTCCATTGGACAGACGTTGTACCTGCCAAAGAAGCAACCAAGGTGTTTCTTGCCCTTGGGTCAACGCATATAATGTCTGGATGGACTCATTTGTGAAAGACATTTTCGCAGCTTTTCCTGAGAAATGTGACATTGAATTGTGGTTGACCCTTGGGCATGGGTCAAAATTATTGGTTCAGCATTTTTGAAATGGTTTTCGTCTGAAAAAAAAGGTAGCCGTACATCCACCGGTTGATCATTATCCAATTCTCATCAATTGTCCTTAGTAAAAAATGGCCATTTACTTGATCTCTCAGTTTCATTCACATCCAAATGGTTTCAGATCCTAAGAGATGATGCTGTGACGCAGTCGCCAGTCGCCGCTTTCAACCTATGGAGTTCAGGTTTTTTCACTGCGGGAGAGTCTGGTTGTCAAACATTGGCCGCGCCAGAGAATGGAACTCAGAAGGGGCTGTGGCAGTGCGATGTGGTAGGATGGTTTGTGGGGAAAAAAGTCGGTGATTTGTCTCTCCATTTTATGGCCACCGAAGGTGGGGGAAAGTGATGATAAACTGATGAACTGTACGATGATGATCAATGATGTTGGGTTTTCAAAATTTGAGACAGTCCCATGATGGTTTCTGGTAGGAGGGACACTTGTTGTTTTCTTGTTGGATGTAGGAGGGCTTGTCTCAAAATGGCCCGTTTGCCCGTTCCTTCCTATGGTTTTAGCTGTAACAACATGACATTTGTCCATTTGTTGGCTACATTCGAGAACAATGGCGTTCACATTTGCTGATATCTCCACATGTTTGCAGCTCAAGTCAAGGTGAATGTTCATGACGCCCGCGCGTGCGATATTTTCCCGGCCATTCCATCGCACAGCATTGCTTGGCTTAAAATATGGGGGTTTCCATAAATGGGGATAACTCCAATAGCTGGATGGTTTCTAGTTATGAAAATCCATAAATGGATGGCTTGGGGGTAGTCCTATTTTAGGCAACCCCTATATATGTCCTAATTCTGTTCATTAAATAAAATTGACCCATACCGATCTCATTCGTCACGTTTTTTTGGCATTGAACAACAATAAATTGGAATTCCTTAAATTCCTGGAACCATCATTCGTATTTTTTCGGTTGCACCGTTGTTGTTTTCTGTTGGCGGTGCTGTTGCTTTCTTTCTTCGAGGCTTTCCGAATCAGCCGAGCTGCGCAACCCGAGGTTGGGTCTGGGTCGATTGGGTGAAAGAATGCCAACCATGGATTAATAACCATATGGGTTTGTCTGAAAAAGGAAATATCCCCAGTTCTGAGCCTTTTGAAGAGGGACAATTATGATAATCCATGAGAATAGGGGGTACCCTATTTTTAGATTCACCCTTTATCACTATTTTGGGGCACCCAGTGAATGAACTATGGTTATTACTCCGGGCTTCACATATTCAGCCCTTCTTCACGAGCGCCAAAAATTGGGAGATGTCAATGGGTCAAAGTCAATGGGTACCCATGGTACCCATCGAACTGCCGTTTGTGGATGTTCATCCATGCATACATAAATAAGAGGTTGCGACCCATGCTGCAATTTGGGGCAAAAGAAATAGGAAATTCCAGATCCCAATATATGGTCATTGGATCATAGACAAACTGAAACCAAGGAGTTTATGTATGAGGTGGATAACTTTTTTTGCAGATATTCCCTTGTGAATGTTTAAGACCCGCTTTGTGGGCTGTATTTACTGTAAACTAATGATAGTTAGAATTATTAAGATCATATATAATTTACTATTGTGTAATGATATAGTTAGTTATAATTGCACTTATAGTTATACTTATAGTTGTACTTACAGTTGTAGTTGTACTTATAGTTGTAGTTATAGTTGTACTTATCGAAGGAAGTTTAGAAGTCAAACTTCCCACAATATGGACAGATGAAAAGCAGAGACGGGAAGAGTCAGAGAGAAGAGAAGAGTAGAAGAGAGAAGATCAGAGAAGAGAAAGAGTCAGAAGAAAGAAGCTCAGATGCGCGAAAAGGTAGGAAAGTCGCGAAACACTGTGTTTTTCTCCGGAGGGTCGAAAAGTAGGCTCGCTAAAGCGGCGGGTGCGGAGCCATCTGGCCAGATGAAAGATGGAAAAGTGCACGCCGTTGTGGCGCGAAGCACATTTGCAAGTGAAAAAGCTAGAAACACCTCACGTTCGGAGCACTTTTGGAAGTTGAGATGTCGAAAAAGTGCACGCCGTTGTGGCGCGAAGCATATTTCGAAGTCAAAAGGTACAAAGCACACCATTCTCGGACCAATTTTGGAAGTTGAGATGTCGAAGAAGTGCACGCCGTTGTGGCGCGAAGCACGTTTCGAAGTCAAAAAATCTAAAAAGTGCACGCAGTTGTGGCGCGAAGCACATTTCGAAGTCAAAATGTTAAAAGCACCAGGCGTTCGGACCACTTTTGGACGTTCAGATGTCGTTTCGTGTGGCAGGCGCAAGGGATTGTGCACCTTGTCAAAAGTGAGCAAAACGTGAGGGTTTTGGAGCATTTCCAAAAACCATGGCAGGCGTGGGACAAGTGCAGAGGATCTGCAAAGGTGCCTTTTCCGTGGCAGGCGCAGTGCAGGAGACATCTTCATCAGAGCTGTTAGGAGGCCCGGGCGCTGATTTCCTGAGAGGGGTTGCATTTTGGAGCATCAGATCTTCAGGTTTGCTGAGATGATTTTGCGTGACAGGTGCAGCACTTCGTATGACCTGGCATCACTTTTTCGTGGCAGGCGCAGTAGTTTAGACAGGTGGACTGGAAAAATCCCCAAACACATTTGTACGAGGCCATCAGCTCTGCACTCAACTTTCCATTTTTGAAGGAAGTCTCGCAGAATTGCTTCGTTTTTGATGTTGTCAACTTCGAAAAATGAGGAAGTGTCGCAGAATTGCTTCGTTTCTGACGTTGTCAAGTTCAAAAATTGAGGATGTCTCGCAGAATTGCTTCGTTTTTGACGTTGTCAACTTCAAACATTGAGGAAGTCTCGCAGAATTGCTTCGTTTTTGACGTTGTCAACTTCAAACATTGAGGAAGTCTCGCAGAATTGCTGCGTTTTTGATGTTGTCAAGTTCAAAACCTGAGGACGTCTCGCAGAATAGGTTCGTTTTCAAGCTTGCAGATAGACAGGTAGATAGATAGACAGACAGGCAGACAGGCAGAGAGAGAGAGAGAGAGAGAGAGAGAGATAGAGAGAGAGAGAGAGATAGATAGGTAGATAGAAAGATACATAGTTAGATAGATAGATGAGAGAGATAGATAGATAGATAGATAGATAGATAGATAGATAGATAGATAAACAGATAGATAGATAGGTAGATACGTAGATAGGTAGATAGGTAGGTAGATAGAAAGATACATAGTTAGATAGACAGGTGAGATAGATAGGTAGATAGATAGCTAGCTAGCTAGATACATAGACAGATAGAGAGATAGATAGATGGTTGGATAGATAGATAGATAGATAGATAGATAGATGAGCTAGCAGATAGATAGTTAGATAGGTAGGTAGTTAGAAAGATACATAGTTAGATAGACAGGTGAGATAGATAGGTAGATAGATAGCTAGCTAGCTAGATACATAGACAGATAGAGAGATAGATAGATGGTTGGATAGATAGATAGATAGATAGAAAGATAGAAAGAAAGAAAGAAAGATAGAGAGAGATAGAGAGAGAGAGAGAGAGAAGGAGATAGAGAGACAGACAGATAGACAGACAGATAGACAGATAGATAGATAAATAGATAGATGGATAGATGGATAGACGGATAGATGGATAGATGGATAGATGGATAGGTGAATAGATGGAGAGATGGATAGATAGATAGATAGACAGATGGATGGATGGATGGATAGATAGATAGATAGATGGATAGATAGATAGATAGTTAAAAAGACAGATGAGAAAGAGAGAGAAAGAGAGGAGACCCCGACCACCTTTCGGTCCATCAGTGGATAGTTGAAGATATGGTTATAGTTGTGGTTAGTTAAAGTTATAGTTATAGTTAGAGTTGAAGTTGAAGTTATAGTTATAGTTATAGTTATAGTTAGTTGAGTAGTTTTAGCAATAGCAATATGGATAATAACAACTGTTTATTAGTAATTAGTATACTACTATTATAGTGAAGTGATTGTTGTTATAGTCATTTTTGCTATCTATCATCATTACAATAACTAAATGACATCATACTCTTGTTACATTATTATTATTATCATCTTCAGATTATCATGACATAGTATTATTAGTATTTATTAGGTGTTATTATATATTGTTGTTATTGTTATACTATTCTTTACATTGCTATTATTATTGTTCATTATACTGCAACTAGCTTTATCAGCCAAGGATTCGACAGCCGATGGCACGGATTGGGACCAGGCGCACGGATCACGGTTGTTCTGGGTCGGGAATCATGGGAGATTTCACCAAGAATTGGGATATCATGGGGATAGAATGGGATGTACTTCATATAATTGGGGATCATATATCCAATTCTTGGAGATTCACAGTAGTATATATATATGTAATCGGATGTTTATATTCGTTGCTATAAGACTATACAGTAGATATAATTGGAGATAGTTTAGGAGATCATTGGCTATAAGCCACTGTTCTGGGTCAACCGATTGCAATATTTTGCCGTGCATTTTGGGGGAACCATGCCCCAAACACTTAGATTTCAGCAACAAAAATGGTGATACAGCTGGTATCATCGGGGAAACTCGATGCGTTTCGTAGCATTGAATATCTTGCAATTTTGATGCAATTTTGGTGGGGCATATTTACCAACTATCAAAACATCAGTTTACTGTCGAAAAAAACACAGGTTGTTTATATATATATATACATATCCTCGGGTAGTCAAAGAGTTTGCAAACAGGAAAAACACAATTTTGAATAAATAGAATCATTTGTAAACGGGTCATCAACCATAGCCATAGTAGATTGCTAGAGGGTAACATACGACCTGTGGGGAAGTTTTCTGGTGGATGATCCGCAGGAACCAAATTGTCAAAAACAATCGCAGACGTGGTTGAAGTCATATATCTACTGGGGCAAAGGTATATCTACACACAGTATATGATGTATTTATATATATCATATGTATGTATATATATATATGTATTTATACACAATGTATATGTATGTAAATATAGTCTGTTTTTCAAAAAAAACTCTTTTGACTGGCGCATTGGCAGGAGCTGCGTCGCGTCACCGAACGGCTGAAGCAGAAGGAATTGCAGGATCCGCAACTGGTCATATGTTTGGGTAATATCAATGGGTATTGACTATTAATGATATTAGTGATAATTAGTGACTATCATATCACATTACCAATATAATGAATATCATATTACCAGAATTATTAATGATACTAATCATATTACCAATATAATGGGTATATATATATATTTAAATATTATTAATGATCAAAATGGAGAATACCAATATATTACGGTCATGTTTTTGGGCAATGACTAGCATATAATACAACTAATTGCGGTGAAACCAATTTCATAAACCATCTCCAAGTCATCACCATGTTAATGGGTGCGAGAAAAATAAACCATCCCCAGTCATGATAGGTAAAAATTGCATTGGTTTTTTTTCACATTATCATACAACAAGGGTAGTACCAATCCATATTCAACAACTGGATGTTCATGTAATAACCTCAAAAAATGGTATGGCATATGGACTGATCTATCCCTATGCCAATCCAGATGTTGTTTTTTTTGGTGAGCTTGACTTTCTTAACCAGATATACAATAGTTTGGTGCTTTTGATTTTTTTTGGTCTTTTTTTTGTTAGATTTCATTGATTTCATATATAATCCCATATTTTTTGCCGCGCAGGCTATCTCTTTCGGCTGTATATATATATATATATAAACATATGTATATATATATATATACATACACAATATCAACATCCCGCCGGGTTTTAACTTGAACGTGTAAAAGAAGGATTTCTGAAGAATGGGCATCCTGCTAATCATGTTTTGTGCAATGTTTTGGCAGTATTTCTTCGTGGTTATGTGGGTTACAGGGTGTTTTGCAACTTTATGTGGGAATTGTTGCGTATTCTGAATAAAATGCATCCCGAAAAATGCATCTTTTCGCGAGCCCTCAACGGGGCAGATCTAACAACATTTGCTTTCCAGCACCATTGCCATGTAGGAACGTATCTCCAAATCAGAAAATCATTCAATCCGGGTTGTTCCTTTTTGTGCAAATGCAAGAAAACGTACAGTAGCATAGCATGACGTATGTGTGCAAGTGCAAGAGAACCCACAGTAGCGTAGCGTGACACATGCGTGCAAGTGCAAAAGAACCTGCAGTAGCGGAGCGTGACGCGTCTCTGCAAGTGCAAGAGAACCTACAGTAGCCTAGCGTGACACATGAGTGCAGGTGCAAATGAACGTCATTAGCCCACCCCACCCCACCCGACCCCACCCCAACAAAAAAACGCACAAAACGCACGTTCGGTTTTCAACCCGTAGGCACAAACATGCAACAAGATATAGGTATGTACAATGCAATGTCCATTTACAATACACGTACTGCATATCTTCAAGGGACATTTAGACCCCTATACGGTCATATACGTAAGATCAAATACACACATGTGATAATCTGTGTGATGTATCTATCCATCTACATCTACAACCCATTCCTGGACCACTGGTGGGGCAGGAGGAGGGGCTCTCCGCAACGAAGCCCTTGTTCCGCCAAAGCTGGGCCCTCGGGGAAAAAACTCCGCCGAAGAAGTGGGAAGTTTACCGAGAAAAACCGCGGAGCTACATCCCCTAATTTCAATAAGGCATCAATAGAAGATCATCTTCTAGAGCTGGGGTTCCAAGTTGAAATTTTTGAGTACCCAAACAACTTTGCAGTTAAATGTGGATTTAACCAACAGGACTAGGGAATATGGATTTAAGCAACAAGCATGGTGACCAACAGCCTGAAGATTTTGCCAAGAGCAAAAAAGGCCTTACCCGACAAATGAGGTGCGGGTCAAAACTCAGGGCCATGGGAGGAAACCAATTTGGGATTGTCTTTCCGCACCTGAACCGTTCCATTTTTGGATACATAGTCTTGACCCATTCCATTTTTTCATTGGCCTAAAAAACTTACCCTCCCATAAAACAGTCAATTTCTTGGAAACTACTCTGCCAGCCCCCTATTTGGCAGGGTCTTTGGGGAGGGTACGAACTTGGTCAGTTGGTGTCTTGACCACCCAGTTTTTTTTTGGGTACAGAATCTTGCCATTCCCCGTGAGCTTCAGTGAGTTTCTGAGGTGATGAGTGGACAGTGGAGAGGCAGGAAACGTGCCGTATGACATGGCCACAAGGACCCCACATGGATGGACATTGCAAGACATATTAAGACATTCTTGAAATCTTGCTTTTTGTAAAACCATAGAGATTGATATGGGTTTTATGAAAGTTTTAGTTCCAAAAATAGGGCTGCTCCCATTCCATCCCATGATTGACACGCTGCCAGGGTGGAGCTCCAAGATGGCGTTCCCCCTGTGGGCTCCGTGGGGGCCCAGGCATAGATTTTTTTTTAAACCACGAATTTATAGCAATTTTCATGGTGAACATGATGATAAACCATGATAACCCGGACTTGGGGGAGTTCTAAAATATTTGATGCAAGTTTGTCGGATTTACTGTGCTTTGGAACTTTGGGGGCAGGATATTTGTTGTATTTTGGGCCGAACCTTGGAGAAACATGCAGAACATACCGCAGGGACTTGCCGATCGCCAAACTATCCGTTGAAGCAAAGCTGTGCCGAAAAAGAGAAGCAGCAAAGACGTCTGACCCCAACATCATGTCATTATCAGAACGTAGTGACAGCTGCTTAAACCACCTTGGATCAGGTGGGGGTTTGGTGAAACCAAAAGCATCAAACACCCCGATGACTGAACCAAACCATCAACAACTAGAGGTTTATTGTTGGGTTACGGCATTCCTCTATGACCCAAGCAACACTTATGCCGCACATGTCAGTATCAATCCAAGTTATGCATTTCTTACGCAACCATTAAGCTAGCTATTATTGATAAGTCCCCATATTATATACCTGTTAATTATTATATGAACTAAATATCCCTACGGTCAGCAAATCAAACATACCAGCAAGTATACCCATAAACCGATTGGTGTACCTTTCAGATCCTTTCAGTAATCAAACATGGTTTGCTGGACAATTCCTCAAAATATGCAGATTTTCCCATTAAAGCCTGCCTGTAGTTGGGGGATGTCCCGCTAGCTGTGTAGCTGATTGCTGAAGGTACTGTATCCCCGTGATCAATGCTTGATATCACCCTACATATCTTAAACCCTATGTGAAACCAAAAATAAACCCTACCAAACACCATAAATCCATATCAAACCCTCTTAAGCTATCATTAAATCCATATTAAACCCTATAAAGCACTATAAATCGCAACCGGGGTTGACGTCATCAGCGCAGCATACCTCGAGGTGTTGATGGCAAATCCTCGCAGCTTCCTGGACAAAGTGACGCCAGTTGCTGCGATGCGCACGGGGTGCACCGAGGGTGGGGCGGTGAGTGGAGCGTGGCGGCAGTTCGTGGGTGAGTTGTCGAAATCGAAAATCGGGTGAAACTTTTTTTTTGCGTTTCAGAGTTAGGTGGCCCAAATCCCATGCATATCTGGGTTTTCGACAACCAAACATATCCAATTTTTATGGGTTTTCATGATGGTTTTTCCAGGTGGATGCCATCTCTGGAATCCTCGCGGAGGGACAAGGCTCGTCTACCAGTCTGGGTGGCCCAGCATCACCATTTTTTCCTGGCCAAGCATCACCGTTTTTTTCAATTGTGTATGATTTTAGGAAAACGATTCACCATTGAATTCTTAGGGGTACCCTCTTTCAGACCCAGATAAGGAAGGAGACTTTGATTTCTTATCCGGTTCCTATGATCAATGCCACTGTCACTCCTGCAGATCTTGTTGGTGGTCGGTTGTCGTGTATATAAATGTGATTGATCAGTCTATCTCATCTCATCTATCTCATCTTATCCAGTCTTATCTCATCTAATCTTACTTTTGTTGTTTCCTATTCTAGACATATAGGACAAATATGGGCATCCATAAAAACTAGCCCCCAAAATGGATGGTTTCAGATTCTAAAAATCACCAGCCTTTCACACATGGTGGTTCCACTTATATAATTTGCACGAGTATATGGCCATAATTGCAGGGGCGAAAACCACACCCCGACCTCTGGGCGTGTCGTATTGAGCATGGTGCCGCATGGTATGATGTTGCTGGTTATAAGTTATAAGTTATATGTCTCATGACATCCCCATGATGTCCCCAGTTATAAGCCTAACAATGGTTCATCCTCATTATTTATATTATTGATCCCACCAAATTGCGACTTTGGAATTGTAAAATCCCCCATTCTGACGGCACTTGATATGGATAAGAACCCCCCAAGTAGTTACCCATACTGCAACCCCAATCGTATGAGATTCCTGATTTGACTGGTTATATCTTCCGGCTCCCCTTCTATCCCCATGGTTCTTTTTGCAGCACTTAGGTGGTGCTGATCACCCGCCGCACAGCCGACAGTCTCCAGGTGGCTCAATCCATTTCCCATCCCTCCCATACTTTTAGCAACAGCAAAATATTTTTTTCGACCAAATATTTTAGGGGGATGGAGTGGTTTTCTTTGAAACCAACATGCAAAAATTGGGACGGAAAAATTTGGACTGCAGTTTGTTTGATTGACAATGCAGGGGATTTTTGGGGACTTTTTGTTCCATCTTTGGACCAACAACACGGAAATCTTTCAGCCCAAATAGGAGGACACTTCATTGATTCACTAGGATGATGGCATTGCAGCATGACCAAAGATGGGAGGTTTGTACCATTTCCGCAGATAGCGATTTGAAAGCTGCAGATACCAACGGGTAGAGCGTTGGATATTTGAGGTCATCAAAGAACTACAGAGGTACTGGTCATAGACTTAGGGCATCAAATGATTTAAATGGAGGAAGTGCTGAATCTTTTTTGGTATTGTTTTGCCATATGGTTTAGATAAATCTAATGGCTACTTGACCGATTGCCACCTATGCCATCCGGGTCAAACCTGTGATAAAACGCTTCAAAAACAGACATAGCTGAAACAATATTGAACCCCCCTAATGTGATGTTGGCACTGGATTTTGTGACCCGGTCGCCAGCAAAAATGGGGCAGTTCACTGTGCTGGCGCCAGGGTGTGCTATTGGGCAGCTGGAGTGGCAAATTGCTGGGGGATATGGATGCGCAGGTGAATTGGTGGGATCGCCATAGTGGGATGCTGGGATGATTACCATCTGGTTATGACTAACATAGCCATGGAAAATCACCATTTTTAATAGGTAAACCATCTATTTCTATGGGCCATCTATACCATGGCTATGTTAAATAACCAGAGGGTAAAATGAATTAATGGGATGATATTGAGACTGAGGAGACTATGATAAACTTACAGTGAGGGATCATGGAATCCAGGGAAAATTAAGGGAAACATAACCACGATTGCAACGGATTGACATAGGTTAATAGTGAGATAATAATGGATAATTAAGATAGGTAAGGGACAACTACAATGAACCATGTGATTGATATTATTGGGTATATAGCCCTAGAAATGGGAGGTAAAATCACCCAGAGATGGTTGGTTCTATTGTTGGCTAGGCTTCTGACATGTGAAAAAAGGGGGTTTCCTAAGATATGGGTACCCCAAACCATTGGCTTTCCCATTGAGAATAAACAATGTTGAATGATTTTGGGGTACCATTGTAGGAAACCTCCATATATATATACATATATATGTATATATACATATATATATATACATATATATATACATATATGTATTTAAGTGTATATATATATGTATATATACTTTATGTTATGTTATGTTATGTAATGTAATCTCATGCAATGTATGGTATGCACATCTATATATATATATATATACATACCACTTCTGCGTTTGGTGCTTATAGCCTAGCATGGTGTGGCTTAGCTCGCCATGGTTCCGCCGCTGCAGTACTTCATGACGCGACCGCTCTACATTGGAGGCGTAGGGACAGCTCAGATCCAGCCAGAGGTGGAGGTGGTTTTTTGGTGAAAACACAGGGGACACACACAGATTTAGCCTCTGGTAAACGTTAACATAACTATGGAAAATCACAATTTTTGATGGGAAAATCCACTATTTCTATGGCCATTTTCAATAGCTATGTAACAAATTACCAGAGGGTAACCAACCAAAACGGGTTGCACCGGGATTCTAGTGGGATATGACCCTTGCGGAATTCACATTGATCAACAGAATGGGATTGATCCAATGTCTTAAATGGGGAATTCACCAAGATTGGCTCTGATATTTTATGAGGATATATAACCAACGCCATATGATATTTGGGTGTGTCTGCCAAGGGGGGGATCTATCCCCAATAAAAATGCCAATTTGAATAGGAGAATATGATGACAAACCAGTGGATTTTTGGTTACAAGACCTCATTTTAAGACAACCCCATAGGTTTTTTCCTATATGAATTGAACATGGTGCCTTGTGGTACAACCAGTAATGGGAAAGGGTCAAAACCGATGATGTTCAACATTCACGGATGGCGAGAAGTACATGCCAGTGCTTTCTTTAAAGAGAAGTACATAGGAACATATAGGAACTACTGTAATATCCAAGATTTGGTTTCAGCGGAAAAACATGCTACTGAAACCTCCATATTTGACTGATACTGTAACCTCCAGATTTCCCCAGGTCGATTTCCCCAGGTCAACGTCAGTGGCCTCTCCATGGTTCACTCGTGCGCGGCGCCTGGAGACGCGCTGAGCATCGCTGGCAATCGAAGCATCGAAGCCCAATTTCCCCGATGGCTCCAGGTACCCCGAAATGCCTGGGTCCTGGGAACTCATCGATGGCCTGGCAGCTAGGTGGAACCCGAACCCGGCTGAGCTTGTCACCAGGTTGTCACTGGGAGATGGGCAGAGTGGAGATGGCTTGATCATCTCCAGCGAGGATTCTAAAAAATCAGAATCAACAACAGTTGGTACCATCTGGCAATGAAATATCAGCTATAAACCTCCATGGCTAGTTCGGGGATTTTACTTTGCCGTATTTGCCGGAAAGTATTTCTCAATTCTTTTTGAAGGGGATCCATCCACCTTGAGGACTTCTATCTCGATTCTTTCTTGTGACTTTGTTGCCGTCACCAGCAGTTTTGATTGTGTGAACAGGTGGATGACCCATGTGACCATGTTCCATGAATGCTCAGCTTCTGCGGCTCCAGCGCTGCAGGAATTCTCATGTGGAGAAATTATTTTTTTCTAGATGATTCTAGATGATTGAAGGGAAAATCCTCAGGAATGCGGTGGGCTTTCCCATCCAATTTTGTTGGGGATTCTGGGCAAAATCTCCCCTAAACAAACAATTTCTGGGACATTTCGCCGTCCAATCTGCTGAACGAATGACCAGGATGAAAGAGAAAGTCCAACTGGAATGGATGTCACTCAAACATGCCCATCCAATAGGTCCCCCAAGTCATACAGAACTTCGGAGCTTGCCTCTTGGGCAGTAGCCACTGCCCAAACAAGCATCGGAACATCCAGGTACTGATGGGATTTTGACTTAACTTTCCCAGATTTTTCCGAATGTCTGTGACCCATGAGAGCCCTTGGCCGCTTTTTGGCCTTGGCGCTGCTGCCTCCGTTGCTCTTCGTGGCGCCGGGTCGCCGTGCCACCGGTGTGCCCGGTGGCTGTCGCGGTCGCAGCCTTGCGCGGCATGTGCAGCGGAATCCCTACGACGTGCTGGGCCTGTCCAGTGGCTGCAGCTACGACGACATCCGGGCAGCCTTTCGCAAGCTGGCCAGGAGCTGATGGATTTTTTGGGGGCCAAAGTGGCAAAATGGAGGAGACCAGAAAGTGTTTTTCTTGCTCAAACTAGGGAGAATAAGGATTAACTTATTAAGTATCAAAGTTTGGGTTGCATTATTTTCAGACAAACCAAAGTTGGGGATTTGGAAAAAAACAAGGTGGGATCAAACAACTTCAATTTCCAGGTTCTCAATTGTGGCCCCATACCCATTTGACCCATGGCAAGCTGATTACATGCAGGACCTATCATCCTGATGTTCCAGGCCCTGCCTCGATTGGGATATGGTGATTTGTGGGTGGTCATCAGTCTGAAAATGTATTCTGATGTTGCCGATGTGCCGGTATGTACCCAAACAGTACATGTAGAATCATAGAGACATAGACATAGAATGGAGTATGACGGGGATCTTTAAGATAGATCCCACACTGAAGGCGGAATGTTATTGGTTTTTATTCCCCAATCTGATGGTCAATGGTCCCAAAAGTTATACCCTGTGGTCATTTTAAACACTTTGTGAACTGGAAAATCACAATTTCAAATAGCTATAGACGGTATAGAATCAACAAATGTGCCATCTCCTGTAGCCACCGTAGCCAACTGTTGTCCCAGAGGGTAATTGATTCAATCACCATTATATCATTGGCCCATTCTTGGCTCATTGTATCACCTTATTTTTCCTATTAACTAGTGATATACAGTAGTGATATCGGTCATGGCACATATATATACATACATATATATATATATCTATATAGTAATAATACACTCCTATTGATCATCACTCTCGTACTTAGTTCCTTTTTCCCCAACAGCGTAAGCTAATGGGGTCTTCAGCCCAGAATAGCTCCGGTGTGCACTGGTGCATGAGCCGGGTGAGGTTCAACAAGGTTCCGGAGAAGGTTCCGAAGGTTCCGGAGAAAGTCTGGGAGGCTTCGGTGCAGAGCCAGGTCAGGTTCAACAGGGTTCCGGAGAGGTTCCGGAGAAGGTTCCAGGAAGCCAGGTTAAGTTCAATAGGGTTCCGGAGACGGTTCCGGAGAAGGTTGCAGGATTCTTTGGTGCAAAGCCAGGTTAAGTTCAATAGGGTTCCGGAGAAGGTTCCGGAGAAGGTTCCGGAGAAGGTCGGAGAGGCTTTGGTGCAGAGCCAGGTCAGGTTCAACAGGGCTCCGGAGAAGGTTCCGGAGGAAGCCTTGGTGTCGGAGAGGCTTTGGTGCAGAGCCAGGTCAGGTTCAACAGGGTTCCGGAGAAGGTTCCGGAGAAGGTGTGGGACGCTTCGGTGCAGAGCCGGGTCCGGTTCAACAAGATCCCAGAGAAGGTTCCGGAGAAGGTCTGGGAGGCTTTGGTGGAGAGTCAGGTGAGGTTCAACAGGGTTCCGGAGAAGGTTCCGGAGAAGGTCTGGGAGGCTTTGGTGCATAGTCAGTTCAGGTTCAAGGGTTCCGGAGAAGATTCCAGAGAAGGTTCCGGGAGGCTTTGGTGCAGAGCCAGGTCAGGCGCAACAGGGCTCCGGAGAAGGTTCCGGAGAAGGTGTGGGAGGCTTCGGTGCAGAGCTGGGTCCGGGTCAACAGGGTTCCGGAGAAGATTCCAGAGAAGGTTCCGGGAGGCTTTGGTGCAGAGCCAGGTCAGGTCCACAGGGTTCCGGAGAAGGTTCCGGAGGTCTACAAGGCTTTGGTGCAGAGCCAGGTCAGGTTCAACAGGGTTCCGGAGAAGGTTCCGGAGAAGGTCTGGTAGAGCCAGGTCAGGTTCAACAAGATTTGCGGCCATTTAACTCACTGAAACCCAGCTGAGGTGTTTCCAGCGCTTTGCTTCGCATCACGCTTCAGAAAGATTTGTAAAAATAAACCGTTGCGGCTGTTGGGGATACCGCCAAAGCTTATATTAAGTAGTGGTATCCCAAAAAGACGATAGGATTTTCGTAGGATTTTGTCTTCCCTACGGCGACAATGGAATCCTCCAATGGAATCCTCCAATGGCTCAGACACTGGAGACGAAGATCGTTTCCGGTCCATCCGGGAGGTTCGGAGGGACCCATCTGGGATCAGCGGTTCTGCGATTTATAAATCTTCAAAAAAACTGTATATATATATATATATTAATCATGGTTAATGGTGAGTCAATGGCTACCTGGTGAATCAATTAATCAATTTCGAATTTTTCTTGGAATTGTGTGTCTTGTTTTTTTTTGCGATCAATTGATGGATTGTACCGCATCTTCTGTGGGTCGATTGGTATCAGCACTGGACCGGGGACACCAGGGACACCAGGAGCATTCTGAGCAGATAAATCTGGGCGACTAGGCCATGAAATGGAAAAAATGGTGTCTTAAACAATCGGCAAAGAATGGAACCTGCAAGAAGAGTTCGGGAAATCTATCGACACAGGATGGTGTTTTCCAGTTATGTTTGTTGGTTTATAAAGCCCATGAACTATAGTTGTATCTACATATATATCTACCATAAACCATAGAAGTCGGCCACTTTTCTTTCCTTTCTGCGAAACCTGGAAGCCGGGTCGAGTTCCTCGGTGAGGCCTTGGAAGAATTGGGCACCCCTGCAGGCGATGCTGGAACTTCGCAAGTTGCGGGCTACTCTATGGGGTACCCCAAAATGGTTGGTTTATAATGTTTATAATGTAAAATCCTATTAAAATTGATGATTTAGGGGTAAACCTCCATATAGTTGGTTTTGGAACCTATCTCTCTTGACTATTTCAGTTTGGTTGGTTGAAGTCCACAAATTTTGGGAGAAAACGAAACGGACGGCATTGACCTTTGGCACATCTTGGACCCAGCATCAACCCCTGTCATTCTTCTAGCGGCAGGTCGAGCCCGGTGGTCTGGGGGTGGAGCCCATGCGCACGCTGCGAGCAGAGCCAGCTATAGCAGTTACACCTCGGATTTCCAGGGCTACGGCTACGGTAGCTATGGGTACGAGACCAGGTTGGGCTTTCAACAGATGGGCCATCTCCAGCATAGGCAAACTGATGATCATGGGGACATCCTAGTTTCAGACAAAGCCGGATGGTTTTTTGGGAGAGCAGCGACCATGTTGGATGGGCAAAGGACATCTTTGATTTTGCTGACTTACCGCCACTCTTCGGGGGTCATAAGAGTTCCTTGTTTTGGGCTCCAAGCATCACCTTTTCTTTGTCCTATAGCCATTGCATCCCCTAAATCTGATGCCTAAAGTTCGCAGGTGAAGTGTTTGCATCCATATAGGAAATGAATGGAAATGATGTATTTACATTATAAATTTACATGTTTATATTGCATTTCATATCCCACAGAAGCTTTGAGGTGTATCTAGGATCAGCCATGTTTTTTTGGACGACCTTAGCATTCAATCTGGCAGGGGTGATCCCTATGGGCAGCGCGCCCAGCGTGACGACCGAAAGCGTCGTCAAGAGACGGAGCGTGAGAGGCGCGAGCAGAACGAGCGCGAATGGAGGCGTGGTTGCGGGATTTTTTTCGCCACGAAGGAGAGGTGATTCTCACCCACAACAGATGGGATTTGAGCTACAACAAAAGCTGGGATTTGGCCGCTGGCCGTTGGGAAGAGTTTCGTAATTAAGCAAAAATATTTCGATCAGATGTTTCAGAACCTTGATAGCTATCTCTTCCGGCAAAGGATTTGTTGTTTTATGTGCTCCATTAGTCAGATAGGTTTTAAATTTGTGAATATAGGTTTATCATTTGTGGTTCATCGAAGGAGGTTTAGAAGTCAAACTTCCGACAATATGGACAGATGAAAAGCAGAGATGGGAAGAGTCAGAGAAGAGAAGATAAGAAGAAAGAAGATCAAAGAAGAGACAGTCAGAAGAAAGAAGATCCAGGTGCGCGAAAAGGTAGGAAAGTCGGGAAACACTGTGTTTTTCCAATGATTTGTGGCTCCGGAGGGTCGAAAAGTAGGCTCGCTAAAGCGGCGGGTGTGGAGCCATGTTGTCAGATGAGAGATGAAAAGTTGCACGCCAGTGTGGCGCGAAGCAAATTTGCAAGTCAAAATGTACAAAGCACACCAGTTACATTACCATTTTTGGAAGTTGTGATGTCGAAAAAGTGCACGCCATTGTGGCGCGAAGAGCGTTTCCAAGTCAAAATGTACAAAGCACACCATGTTCGGACCACTTTTGGAAGTTGACATGTCGAAAAAGTGTACCCCGTTGTGGCGCGAAGCAGCACATTTCGAAGTAAAAGTGCAGAAACTGAGGGTTACGGAGCGCTTTTGGATGTTCAGATGTCGTTCTGCGTGGTAGGCACAAGGGATTGTGCACCTTGTCAAAAGTGAGCAAAACGTGAGGGTTTTGTAGCAGTTTCAGAAACGATGGCAGGCATGGGACATTTGAAGAGGATCTGGACAGATGCATTTCGCGTGGCAAGCGTGGCAAGCGCAGTACAAGAGACACATGAGTTAGATGTGTTAGGAGATCAGGGTGGAGATTTCCGGAGAGGGGTTGCATTTTGGAGCATGAGATCTTCAGCTTTGCGAAGATGATTTTGCGTGACAGGTGCAGCACTTCGTATGACCTGGCCTCACTTTTTCGTGGCAGGCGCAGTACTTTAGAGACATGGAGTAGAAAAATCGCAAAACGCATTGGCACGAGGCCGTCAGCTCTGCATTCAATTTTCCATTATTGAAGGAAGTCTCGCAGAATTGCTTCGTTTTTGATGTTGTCAGCTTGAAAAATTGAGGAAGTCTCGCAGAATAGCTTTGTTTTTGACGTTGTCAAGCTCAAAAGTTGAGGAAGTCTCGCAGAATTGCTGCGTTTTCGATGATGTCAAGTTCAAAAATTGAGGAAGTCTCGCAGAATAGCTTCATTTTCAAACTTGCAGATAGATAGATAGATAAATAGAAAGACAGATTAGATAGATAGATAGATAGATAGATAGATAGATAGATAGATATAGATAGATAGATAGATAGATATAGATAGATAGAGATAGATAGATAGATAGATAGATAGATATAGATAGATAGATATAGATAGATAGATAGATAGATATAGATAGATAGATAGATATAGATAGATAGATAGATAGATATAGATAGATAGATATAGATAGATATAGATAGATAGATAGATAGAAAGATAGATAGGTAGATAGATAGATAAATAGTTAGATAGATAGATATATAGTTAGATAGATAGATAGATGAAAAAGAAAGACAAATAGATGAACATATATATAGATAGACAAATAGATAGACAACGGCAACTGCACTACACCATACTACAACTACAACTTCAACTACAACTACATTACCGCTACAACTACAACCTCTACCTTCAAGGCCTTCAGGTTCATTTCCGTTTTTGTTGAACCATTGGTTCAAGGATGAGTTTGCAGTACCTTGTTGTTGAAAGTGGCCTTTTGAAGGCGAGAGAACAGGCGGAAAAAGGAAGATGCGAAGAAATATGCAAAGAAGAAGGCACCGTGCAGTGGTTCCCCAAGAATGGACGAAAAAAAAACATGGGGATTTGGCCAGCACCAGCCAAGAATGGGAGTTTAACCAAGGAAACAGGGGTTTCAGCCGGCAATAGTCGAAATTTAGCCAACGAAACAGGGGTGTCTAGCCACCAACAATGGGGTGATAGAATCAGCAAAATTGGGAACATAACTTGACGGAAACCTCTAGTGGAACCATTTGTGCTGTGTCTACCCTTCAACCCAATCCGATCCAAAAAATCACCCGTCCAATCCACAGTCTGATCCAAACTAATCGATATAGTAGTGAATAGTATCCACAATATCCAAAGTCTATAGATGTTTATGGTCTTATTTATAGTCTTATTTATTGTCCATATGTGTCCACAACTTCACTGTTGGTGACCAAAAAAACCCGTAACACAAAGCCTCCTACCCTTCTGCCTTTCCCTTCAGCCAGGCTCAAGGAGCCGAAGCGCAAGATGCCATCATGGAGAGAGAACTGAAGAAGGCGGCTATGGTGGTGGTGTGGATGTGGTTTCTTGAGGCTATCAGTTACATCCAGTTACATTGGGTCAGTGTTTTTGTGAGCAAAGGGTTTTTGATCAATTTGAGAATTTGAGTCAATTTGTCCCTTTTCTTGAGGTGCAGAGTAACACAAATGGGAATTTTGAGCAGAAGGAACAGGTGGATTTATCCAACTGCGATGAGGAGAGCTCCTTTGAACATTGAAGGCAGCAGAGTCCGTAGTAGATAGATCTGCTCCGAAGTTGAAATGGGCGCCCTAGCTTGAGGTTTCTGGGGTTAGGGGATTTTGGTGCTTCCCTTGAGGAGCTGACATTATCACGGGTTGTGATCCCAAAACATAACAGCGGTTGTTAGCCTCAGCCCTTGCCAGCCATTGTGGATCAAAAGATGTTGCAATTCTTTTGCCTCAAGATTCTCGCAGCGGTTATGCTTGGTTCCACATTCTGCACTGAAACGAGGCTCCCCAAGAGACTGAATCTTGTATCAGAAAATTATGAAAATTAGATACTTCCCATGTTGCTACTAGCATCATCTAGTGACAATCTAGTGGACCTTACAGAAAATCCAGGTCCCAAAGCTCCATGGGTATAGATCCCGGCCATGACTCCATGACATGGAGGACCTGGTGGACCTGCAACTTGGGTGGGATCCGGCCAAGGGCCATGATGTTTTTCTCCTTCGGTGGTATTTTTTTGGTACCCTGGGGGCTCCTGTTCGCAGAGTGTTTCTCCTCTTTTCGGTGTTTTGTCTCTGCTGGTTTCATGGCTTCCATGGTGAAAGCAGTGAGCAGTGGCGTGACATGCGGAATGGTGAAAGCACATCTCGCAGCAAATTTCTTGTTGATTGGGATAAAACTCCGGTTCCTTGTTGTATTTGTACATTGCTGGCTGCCAATCCCTCCTTCATCTGAGAAAGGCGGAATTTTCTGCCAAAGAAATGGCGACAAAAATGCATAGATATACTATGACTATGATGTGATATACTATCCTGCTGAACATGACCTTTGTTTGAAGGACATCTAAACCTCTAGGCTTGGCCAATCCCCCACAACAAACGTGCCTCTGTCAATCTTTGGATGCTAGGAGCCCATTTTCAAGCCCGATGACATCGTTGAGTTCCAGGGTTTGGTGATTCTGCCACGGTTTTGCGGGCTTTTAGCTGGGTTTACAGACCCCTTCATGACTGGGACTCCAAAATGAAAATCGGGCCAGCATGCATTTAAGTGGAGTTTCTGGCGGGGTATTGTAGAACATTATATCAGGAGGGAAGGGATTAAATATGATCAAATACTGGAAACTATCCCATGATTTTCTGGAAAAACCCAGCTTGGTGGAACCAGGCTTCGACCTTAAGTAAAGATGACCCAAATTCCCAGTGGCTGATGAAGAACCAAGGAGTCATGGGAGCTTATCATCCAAAATGGGTCGAGTTTAATGAGAGAAACAACTTGTAGAGAAACACCTAATTGATGATGTATGCTATACCAAACCAGCTCCTCTTTGTCCTGTGAAAGGACATCTGCTAAATTCCCACTGGCCAGGTGAAATCTAAAGATGACAATGGCAAGCAGGGAGTGATTCTGGGGTACGATTCGAAGAAAAAGCGCTACGAGGCTCAGCACGGGGCTGGGCCGAGTTTAGCTTGGTGCCAGTGGATGAAATTCGGCTGTGGACTGGGATCTCCAAGCGATCGAAAATAGAAAGTCTAGTCTGCTGTGGGGCCGATTGTATCCAGTAGGGCAATCCCCAGATACTGACTCAGACTGACATCGCCATACTCAGTGATCTCAATCGATGTAGAAATCCCTACCTGAGAAGACTTGAGGACTTGCGGCTGCCCATCACATGCTTTACCATCGTTTCCTGGGAATGTCCTTTGCCATGGAAAGCCAACATCTATCTGTCGCTACAATCAATTGAGAATTGGCCTACCTAATTCTTGCCCAGATTTTGAATACCCGTCCAAACTCCAAACTATCACCCCCCAAAAATGGGTGAACATCCCATTTGTGTGAACATCAATTGGTTGGTTGAATAATTCAGCAAAAAATCATCCCATAAAATCCAATGGCAGGTGGCCGTGAAATGGGCCCCAGAGCCCAAGAAGTTGAAAGCTGAGAGCCCTGGTCAGACGGGGCACGGATTGACGATGACCATGGTGCCATTCTGCACCTAAAGTTGTTTCTGGTCTTGAGCATCGTTGAACGCTGACAGGTTGGACCAAGGCTCAATCGATCAATTTGCAGGTTTCAATGGGATGGTTGAAGACTGATATACAATAATATACATATAAATATATAATATATAAGTAGAAATATTACGACCCCTATACCACCACTGTATATACTAGTAGTAGTTCACTCCTCACTATAGCTATGACACCAACACTCTAATAGATTGTACAGTCATTGTATTTACCACGCAACCTCCAACTAGATGCGTTAGTTGTAGGTGTAGCCATGTAGATAGATTAGGAATTGACCCCCTCCTTTAATCCAGCAGGGTTGGTCATAGTAGCCTAACGTAATTTACCTGGCTCAAGCGTCCCATAGCAAAAAGGGGCGTTTGCATGATTTTGAGGCAAGGGAGATTAACCGGTTTTGGTTTCTTGTTTTTCCCCTTGTTTCTCTGGTTATCAGCCGTATTGGCTTAGTGTTCTTTTGCTGGGAAAGTCTTAATCTCCCTTGTCGGTAACTTAGGCCCCACGCAACCTCGTTCACTGCCTTTCACTTTTCGCTGATTTCCTGTTTCACCTTTTATGGTACCAGAGGGTCTGTTGGAAGGGGCTGCTTTGAGCGCCCCCGAACCGGTTGCTGACGGGAACCCGGAAGCAGAGGCGGAAGCTGCTGAAAGCGCTGAAGTCACTGTTGAAGGTAGTACTGGATTTAACTGGGCAGACGCCTCTGAAGACCCGCCCGTGCCGACAGCTGGTTTTCACGTGGGAGGGGCTGCATCTAGTGCCCTAGAGGACGACGCCGACGAGGACTTTGACATCTTGAAGTTTGACGCACTTTCCCTTTTGGATCCGAAGCCGGAGGAAGTAGTCACTACTGAACAGTTGTTTGAAGCACTTGAGGCCGACCTCGATCCCACCGCCGAGCCAGCCGAACAGCTTGAGGCATCCGATCAAATTGAAGCAGAAAATAATCTCGAAGGTGATAACCCCGAAAATCAAACTACAAAAGACGAAATTGATTTTTCTAATAACCCTGATCAGGAAACTAGTGCTGAGGTTGCAGACTCCGCTGCAGATCCGATTGTAGGAAGCTCTCCATCCGTAGTTGAGCCAGATCCTAATTCGACATTTGCTCCGGTATACGTCCAACACCTTGGAGGGGTAGCGGAGGAGGACGAAGTCCCACCGCCCCCAACACCGTTTCTTGAGCAGGAAGGGGCTGCCGCAGGCGCCTCAACAACTGGGCACGTCCAAACAGGCCATTCTCCTGCAGGACCGTCCAGAGGTCCCCGTGTACGTGGAACCAAAGGCGGGAAGAAAGCCCAGACCAAGCGGCTCATCCAGCGTTGGCAATCCGACTTTGATAAACTAGCTAACTTTCTTTGGGACGAGGCAGAATTCTGGCTCAGGTACGTCCACCACTCAGAAGCATCCGCTGAACTGATCTGGACTGTCCGTGTCTTTAGGGTCCTCTACAATCATTGTACGCTAAACCAAATCTTAGTCCATCTTGCTAATACCTTTGCTCCTTATAGAAATTGGGTTTTTACCAACGGATATCGAAGTGGTGAGTTGCATCTTGCTCCAGATACTGCTGCAAACACTGTGCTACCTGACAAGGAACACATTAACTTGCAGGCATTTGGGGACCCAGATCCACCTAGATCCGTTTGGGACGACTACGATACCTATAGGGGTCCACAACCAAAAGGTAAGGCAAAAGCCAAAGCTAGTGTGTTTACCCAAAATACTGAACTACCATCTGGATCCGAGCAAGCTACAGCATTAGGTGTTGACCCAACATTAGATAGGGGTGTTAGTTCTTCTGAAGAAACCCACACACCATCACCAAGGGGCCCACCGAAAGCTAAAGCTAGGCCTAAGCCAGTGTCAGAACCCAAGGAACCTAGTCATCCACCGCCGTGGGTGCCATCCCTTCGACCTGCAGGCCATCAACCCGCTCCGAAAGTTTCAGAATCCGTAGCCAGTGTTCCGCCGCCACGTGTCACGGGAGGGGCTGCTGAAAAGCGCCCTAAACCTGAAAAGGCTGAGCAACCATCCGATCCAAAAGCATCCGGCGAAGCATCCGTGCCAGAACCGGCCAAGCCTAAAGCATCGGACCCAAAAGTTGCTAAGCCCCCTAAGGATAATCCTTTAAAAAGATTATAGGACCCGCACCAAGTTATCCAGCACCACCCGTGCCTGTACATCGAGATTTCCACCAAACTTTAGGACCTCCTCCGCAGCGGCCGCCAAGAGCTGCAACGCCAAGAGGAGACAGGGCTGCAACAGCGATCCCTCCGCCACCATCTCATCCACCGCCATCGGCGGCCGATTTGGACAAAGCGGAGCGTGGGAGACCACGTGAGAGAGCTGGCACACCCCCTGCCCGAAAAGTTAAAGGTGGTAACATCGATAAGACCCCAGCCGCGTCAGCACCCGCTGCGCCTAAGCCAGTGAGCCGATCTAGATCACGGGTTCCAGCCACTCTCATCCCGAGAGCTGACGGTTCTTTTGCAGATCAGGACACTGAGGTGTTGCGCCGTGCAAGGGGTGGTAACTTAGGTACCCCTAGTCTTAGTTCCCGACCAATAGCCCTAAGACCCACTGATAATAATTATCCTCCCGTGATAATAAACTCTGAGGGCACTTGGGTGCGTATCTCAAAGCCGCCTGGCTCTGTTGGAAGGGAACCCACAACTGTTCCTGTTGCCATTCCTGGCACTGCTACATCATCCGTTGACCCCCACGAACTTGCTGACGAAGTTTGGCGTGATCCGTCATTGGTTGGTAGCAACACTGCATTGGTATCCTCCCATAATACCCAGGTAATCCCGATCTCTGAACCTGAGGGTCTAGTTGCTGTAGACTCAGAACTTGTTGACGGGGTTGAAGAAGAAGAAACTACAGTTCCTCCACCAAAAAGAAGGGCTATTGTTACAACAACTTCTTCTGGGCGTAGGCAGGTTTATCAATCTCGACGTAGATCAATTCCTCAACCCGAACCAACATCAACTGCTGCTGCGCCA